CGTCCTATTTTGCAAATGCTGCCTTCCTGAAATTTGGTATGCTTGTTTGTCTTTGTGTCTATGGTGTATAATGATGTGATTGTGATGCTGTATTTCTGACTGTTTTATGTGCTGCAGAACAGGAACCTGCTGTAAAACAGCAGTTATGCTGAGTCAGGCTTGATTTTTAGTAATCTTTTCCTGTTGAATCAATTAATCAAATCAAATCAAATCAAATCTCTGTTCTACATGACTAATACTCTTCTAGATCACTTCGGTCAAACAATAAACTGTTTCTACACGTTCCCAGAACCAGACTGAAAAGAAGAGGTGACCGGGCATTTGTTGTCACTGTTCCTAATTTGTGGAACAACTTACCATTCATTATTAGATCTGCCCATAATCTGGAACACTTCAAATCTCTTCTGAAAACTCGTTTTTACTCTCTGGGATTTCAACAAGGATTTACATTGTATTTCATGTGTCTTGTCTATTTAATTTATTGTTTTTACTTCATTATGTTTTAATCATTTTTATGATTACTGTACAGCACTTTGGTGCAGTTGGTTGCTGATTTTTGAAATGCTCTAGAATTAAGTTTGACATTGACATTGACATTCAGTTCAGATAATTTTTCTAAAATTCAGAGTGAAAATGGTTTTGCATGTTAGCTAAAACACTTGTAACGTTCACATGGACTCACTGTCAAACATTCGACCCAATCAGGTGACCATGGACCGTAGAATCCCTCCCCCTTTCCCCAACACACCGGATTACGTTAACCACTCATCGAAAGTCATGGACTACTTGAATCAACCAGGAAGGACGTTACCCAAGGAGCTGGTCAGCCCCCGATACCGTGCATATCCACCGCTGGAGATGTTTTCCTTCCCCCAAGCGCCCATCAACCAGGACGGCCTGTCCAGCCAGCAGCAGCAAACGATCTCGACGCAGCGCTCCAGGCCGGGGTTTCTGAGGAGAGCCGATTCTCTGGTCAGCTCCACAGAGCTCGCTTTGTTTCGCAGGGTTCATGAAGCCCAGCAGGAGGCGCTACAAGAAGCACAGTACAAACAGCAGGTAAAATATCAGAAATATGTGTGTGTGTGTGTGATGGAAGATAATCAAACTGCTAAGATAAGACGTCAAAGTGTGTTCTGCTCTACCTTCAAATTATTATTTTGTTTTAAAGGAGACATATCCTGCTTTTAAATCCTTTTTTTTCACATTTAAGTCATTCAGTTGGGGTGTTTATAAAGTGAAACTGCAATGCTTTGGTCTGAATTCCTCCTTATTGTAACTCCACAAGCCCCTCTTTCACCTCTTTTCTGAGGCATGTCTCAGATCAACTCGTTTTGGGGCTGTCACTTTAAATCCTAACGAGGCGCTTCACAGCACTGCATAATAGTTTTGAAAACATCATAGAAAATAGAGAAAACCAAAGAGGTTGAAAAACATGACAATAGAAATATATCTTTGGAGTACCAGGAGAGACTAAATTCAACTTTTCTGCCTCTTAGAGACTCCAAGTCCACAACAAGATGCATTTCACTGATAAAAGTGGATTTTGCATGATATGTCCCCTTTAATCATAAGGCTTCTTATTTTTATGAGACCAAAAATCTTATCAGTTTTATTTGAAATAATTGTTATTGTAAATATTAATTTATAAACATATACAGTATTTATGTTCTTATTGTTTCTTTTCTTAGCATATATTTTCTTAGTAAGTTGATTCAAATATGATTAAAAAACAATGTACACTCACTGGCCACTTTATTAGGTACACCTGTCCAACTGCTCATTAACGCAAAGGTTGAATCAGCCAATCACATGGCAGCAACTTTAGTCATGTAATGACCGAGACGATCTGCTGCAGTTCAAATGGACCATCAGAATGGAGAAGAAAGGTGATTTTATTGACTTTGAACGTGGCATGGTTGTTGTGCCAGACGGGCTGGTCTGAGTATTTTAGAAACTGCTGATCTGAGATTTTCACCCACAACCATCTCTAGGGTTTACAGAGAATGGTCCGAAAAAGAGAAAATATCCAGTGAGCGGCAGTCCTGTGGGCACAAATGTCTTGTTGATGCCAGAGGTCAGAGAAGAATGGCCAGACTGGTTCGAGCTGATAGAACGGCAACAGTAACTCAAATAACCACTCATTACAACCGAGGTCTGCAGAAGAACATCTCTGATAACACAACACGTCCAACCTTGAAGTGGATGGACTACAGCAGCAGAAGACCACACCAGGTGCCACTCCTGTCAGCTAAGAACAGGAAACTGAGGCTAAAATTCACACAGACTCACCAAAACTGGACAATAGAAAGTTGGAAAAACGTTGCCTGGTCTGATGAGTCTCGATTTCTGCTGTGACTTTCAGATGGTAGGGTCAGAATTTGGCGTCGACAACATGAAAGCACGGATCCATCCTGCCTTGTATCAACGGTTCAGGCTGGTGGTGCAATGGTGTGGGCAATATTTTCCTGGCACACTTGGGCCCATTAGCACCAGTTGAGCATTGTGTCAACACCACAGCCTACCTGAGTATTGTTGCTGATCATGTACATCCCTTTATGACCACAATGTATCATCTTCTGATGGCTACTTCCAGCAGGATAACGCTCCATGTCATAAAGCTGGAATCATCTCAGACTGGTTTCTTGAACACAACAATGAGTTCACTGTACTCCATTGGCCTCCACCGTCACCAGATCTAAATCCAATAGAGCATCTTTGGGATGTGGTGGAACGGGAGATTCTCATCATGGATGTGCAGCCGACAAATCTGCAGCAACTGTGTGATGCTATCGTGTCAATATGGACCAAAATCTCTGAGGAATGCTTCCAGCACCTTGTTGAATCTATGCCACGAAGGATTAAGGCAGTTCTGAAGGTAAAGGGGGTCCAACCTGGTACTAGCAAGGTGTACTTAATAAAGTGGCCGGTGAGGTTCAAGATGATTTTTTTCTTGCTCTATTTATCAGTCAAGAAAGGTTGCTTTTTATTTAATATTAAATGTGTTGAGCATCAGTTTCACTCACATAATAAAAAGTGTTATGACATAGTTCTCGGTGTAACACCGATAATTATTTTCCTTCAACCACAGTCAGACCCCCCTCATTATAGTCGGGCTCTTGCCTACTCCACCCCCATGGAGCACTCTGCTCTCTCCAACATGGCTGACAACCAAAACCAGATGATGCATAACAAGAGAAACGGTCGCTATGATGATGACTATCCCACTTACCAGGAACAGAAAAAGCCCATGATTGGTTATCCGACCAAAAGTCTGACTCAGCGTCGCCCCCTGTCGGCCAGGAGCTACAGCACTGAGACCTACGGAGCATCTCAGGTAAGATTTATTTTTTAGAAAACAGATTTCAAAGCTGAAGTTTTTTTTCTGCCCAGCAGGTGAGAGTCCAAAATAATTTAATTTACAGAGGTATGAATTAAAAAATGCAACTTCCTACAGGTGGAAACAATCACTTGCTAATGGACTAAATCAAAAAAGCATTTTCTCTCAGTGGTAACTAATTACATGAGTTGAACTATTATTTCAACCTCTCATTAAAATGTTATTACCTGAAAAATGGACTGCCTTCAGCTCTGTGAGACACTACATGAAACAAAGCAGTGGGTAATACTCATAGATTTAAAGGTTTCTGTGTTGGCTACCTCTGTTTTAGGGTTAATATTATTGTTTATTGACAGTTTTTTCCTCATTACAAATACAAATCAGCGCTCCTGAACTCATGTCACTCTGGTGGTCACGTGAGATTTTTCCTCTTACATCTGAATTCTCACGAGATTTCAGGAAGTCTTGCGTGATTTAATATCTGACATCTGAATGTTCAAGAATGAAATATATTTTCGTATGTGGTGTGTTGATTCTTGCCTGTACACCTGTACACCACACACTGTGGAACCAAACCTGCTATATCCATGATTTTTTATCCTCACGTGTGGGCTCTCAGGCTTTGAAAATTGGCCGACTGATTTAAAATCTTGTAGTGTGACAGCCTTAAACTGAGCTGAGTAAATTGAGCAATTTACACATTTTCTTTTAACAACAATGTGTAAATTTCTTGGTTAAGTAAATTCAACATTTTTTAGAGTTCATAAACAACTTTTTTCATGATGTCATTTTTTTAATATATAATGTGTAACTAGCTGTTAAATTTTAAAGTAAAGAAGTAAAAGTATCATTTTTGTGTTTTTAATGTAACGAAATAAAAGTCAAAGTTACGATAAAAAAATATTTTGCGCATCTATAGATCATGTGTCAAACTCAAGGCCCAAGGGCCAAATGTGGCCTGCGGGTGATTCCCGTATGGCCCGCCAAGGCCCCCCCCCCCACACACACACAAACATACACACACATTTTTTTTACTTAATATGAAAATTGTCTTTATATACTGTAAATAGTAAACTTTAAAGTTACGATTGAATGCATCAAAATATATAAATTTAAAAGATGAAAGATAATAATACTCTTTCTGCCCCTGAGCTGTTGGCTTTAAAGGCCCTGTCACACTAGACAGCTTATGCCAACTTATTAAACCTTTTTTTTTATTTATAAACTGCTAATAAAAGTTTTGTATTTGAACAATTTGTTCAAATTACATTATGTACACACTGAAAATAAGCTTCCTGTTGATTTTTTCAATTCCATCTTCAATGTAGACATCTTTAAAACGTTCATAAGTTGGCAAAAATTGTTTAGTGTGACAGGGTCTTAAGTAAATGAGCGCTTTAGTTGAATAGCCTTGTATTAATGTCTCAACATAAGCTGCATTAAAGCCAGCATTGACCATAAACTGCATCTCCAATAATGCATGTTGATTAATTCCCTGTAGGAAAATGGGAGAACTCACCACAACTCATCAGTGAGTAAAACTCTACTACTTTTACTTTTATTACTATTTCTGTATTATTTATTTCACAATTATTCGGTCGTACACGTAGTACTTTTCAGTGTTTATAAGAGGACGTGTTAAAACACTGTTTCTATGCAGGAAACACCAGGTAGAGCTCAGTTATTATTTGTTAGCAGTGCTCAGCTGTAGCAATGAGATGAGAAACGTGATGTTTTGTGTTTAATTGTTTAGTTTAGAAGTTAAACGTGAAATGTCAAAGTTAATTAAAACTGGCCTCACGTGGTCCTCGGTGAAAATGAGTTTAATACCGCTGCTATAGATCCTCAAAAAACTGCTTAGGTACTATAACAAAGTAAATGTATTTCGTTACTATACACTTGTGCAAAATTCACTATAACAGTTTAAAATTTTATTACAATAATCAATAATAGCATATGGATAAAATATGAAAAAAATCATAAATGGGCAAAACACAGCGGGTAAAATAAGTATTGAACACGTCACCCTTTTTCTCAGTAAATATATTGCTAGAGGTGCTAATGACATGAAATTTTCACCAGATGTCGGTAACAACCCAAGTGATCCATACATACAAAGAAATCAAACCATAAA